CCTTTCCTGGTGTTTATTAACAGCAGGCCTTGTCAGCATCTGTTCTCAGCTGCCCTGCCTAATGCTCACACTGGCTGCGTGGGGGCTCAGACTGTCTTGGCCAAATGGGAGCCAGGTGTTGAATTTGCACTTGAGCAATCAAGTAATGAGGAGATGGCAGCCTTACCCAGCCTAGTGAGATCTGCCTGGCCCAGTTTTGAAACTAGCATTATCCGACAACAAAAATCAGGATGTCAGCGATGGAGAGATGTGCTTGGAGAATGTCTTAGACAGTGTCTAGACTTACAGTCTCAGAAACCCATCAGGAAACCGTTCTACTGCATCCTGTGGGGTCACTGTGTATCGTAATTGACTGCATGGCAGAGAGTTTTGGAGTTTGAGATTGAAGAAGCACAGAAACATGTACAAAGCGACCACAATAAGCTCAGAATCAGCTTAGTGCCTGGCTCATACTCAGTGCTCAGATATTTGTTGAGTGAACTTGGATGAATACATTTGCACCGGGGTCTGGAGTTGGGAAGCACCTTTTGCATACATCATGCCATTGTGTCCTCAATATGAACTGTGGTTGTGGAGAGACTGACAGCATTCCCACTTTACAGACGAGAAGACTGAGGCACTTGGTTGAATGACCTCTAGAAATGAATGCATTTCTTTCCCTTCGTTCACATGGATGGGACTAGCGTAGGCCACATTCACAGGCCAGTGGCAGGTCCTGGCAGGCACACAAAGAACAGAGACTCTGCCCTCCACATTCTTCCTCCCCTTGACAAGGGAGAGCTGGACACAGGTTCCCTGACTACCATTCCCAGAGATCTGGCTTGCCCCAGGCACAGAACAGGTGAAGGGGACGTAACTGTGGTGTGGAGAGAGCAAGGGATGGGAAATCAGGCAGATCTGAATGCCGTGCCTTCGCTCACTGCTTGCTGCCTGAGTGAATGAGAAAACAAAACAAAATAACAACAAAATCCCCCTATCACTGCCATCTAGTCAACACCAACTCATACTGACCCTCTAGGACAGGGTAGAACTGCCCCGGTGAGTTTCTGAGACTACATCTATTTAGGGGAGTAGAAAGCCCCTGCCTTTCTCCCAAGGAGCAGCTGATGGTATCAAACTGCTGACCTTTCAGTTCAGTGAGCAGCCTCACGCATAACCTCTCTGCCCCCAGGGTTCCTCTGGGAAGCTAGAGCAGGGGTCATCATCTTCCCTACGGCCCACTTTCTCTCGCTGCACAGTAGGAGTAAGACTATGAACCCCATAGGATTATTGTTAAACATAAAGGACGGAGCACAGGTAAAGTACCTGGAACAATTCTTTGCACATAAGCAATTGGGGCTGCAGATAATGTTGGGGTGATGATGATGATGATGATGTCTGGCCTGGGTGGGACTTTCCCTCCAGGTCTCCTGATTCCCCCTCTTGAGGCTCATTGCTCATCCCAGATCGATCAGTTGACATTGCCTTGATCCCTCTGCCCCTTCTTATTGACAAAACTCTAAGCAGCAGCAAACCCAAACCCTGGACTCAGCAACAGTAATGAGGGATGGAGTCTGTGACTTAAGGAAATTCTAGCATCTGCCTTCAGCTCTTTCTCTCTCCGCAGCCCGAATCTTCACTTCCTTGCCTGACACGGCCACTTTTCCTGACGTAGTAACAGCCCCTGTGTCACATTGTGTAGTTTAAGTAATGCTCCCTTCGCATCACGGATGTTTACGCCGAATCAGTCCTTGACCAAGAGAACAGCCTCCTTATTTGCAGAGCCTAGGCTGTCCCTGACTCCATTGGAAGGTGACAGTTTTTGCTTGTTTCTCTCTGTCCCTTGTGCTGCTTTCTGTTTCTGTTCAGGGTGCTGTTTTCTATTCAGTCTTTCCCTACACTTTCGTCCTCTCTCTTCTCTCTCCACATCTCATTTCTTGCCCTTCTGTTGCCTCTTGCGCTTCTGTTCTGTTTTTGCTTCCGGGCGTGTGCACCCAGCCTTTGTCTTTATCTTGACGTGTTGTCCTTCTCCTCTGGTCTCTGCTTGTTACTCCTGGGTCTCTCCTTTTCTCCAATCTGCTCAATCTGTATTCTTGGCTTTATCTTTCTACACACTTGTATCTGCCTCCAGCCCTCTGCCGTTTAATATAAGACCCCTTCCTAGGTCTGATCCTCTGCCTCCAACTATCATGTGTGTCAGCATATCTACCTAGCCACACATCTGTGTATGTACACGTGTGTTGTCTACCTGTCCATCCATGCATCCATCCATCCCCTCACCCTCCTACCTACTCTGAGAGAGAAAGAGGGGCTTTCTACTCCTGTAAAGAATGACAGTCTCTGAAATTCACTGGGGTAGCTCTGCCCTGTCTTATAGGGTCGCTATGAGTCAGCATTGGCTTGAAGATGGCAGTGAGCTTGGTTTTGAGTTTGGTGTGTTCCTCTGGCCTCCCTATGGTTCTTTTATCCTTTTCAGTCCTTTCTCTTTTCTTGCATTCTCACTTTCTCAAATCATCCCTCCCTCCTCCCTCTCCATATCCTCCACTCTCTATTTCTTCTTATACCTCTAAGGTGTTAATATTTTAATAGCCTTAATGCCTTCCCAGGCTCCTCGGCTCTTTCCATGATTCAAAAGTGGCAAGTCTCCCCGGAGCTTCATTTCAGGAACTGTTCATTTTCTTTCTCTCTTTCTCCCCTACACCTGTCACCATGACCTCGCTCTTTACAAAATTAGGAAGCCAGGGGAGGGAGAGGGTAATTATTCTGGCAGCTCCTGCTGTGTTTCTACCTCTGTCTCTATGTCCCAGGCCTAAATACAAAGTGTTTACTATGAGAAACTAGATTTGAGGAGAAGGTATTCTACTGAAAGGACAAACCTTCCCTTACTAAAAACTCCCAGGCCTTTCCATGAGTCGTAAGCACCGTGAAATCTGAATGAAGGAATGAATGCCTGTGAGCGGAGTTTTGAAAGATTCCCAAGGTGGTTAGAGATGAGCGTCCCGGACAGGAGGAAGAGCAAGAGTACGAATTCAGAGAGGAAAATGCATGCTGCCTTAGATTCTCTGTTCAAGGCTAGCCCACCCAGCCCTCAGCTCTGCAGAGCAAAAGCCATCCAGTCTTTCCCCACACTTCCTTACTCTCTCCTCTCTCACCCTCTGATTTCTGGAAGCGCACAGCTTCAGCCTTCACTGACAATCACTTTCAGCCACAGACAATTGCGCCTTCTAGAAGTGGCCAGTCTCTAGCTGGGGCAGGCAACCATGCCAATGGCAGGACCTCCTAGCTTTAACTCAGGCTGTTCCTTAAGGTCTATCATGGGTCCAGCCCTCCACACAGGATCCACTGAGGCTTCAGACCCAATCACATTGGGACTCAGTCTTTGCTCTGAGGCAGTCCTGTTTTCCTCACTTACTGTGGGTATTTCTTTCAGGAAAGCTCTCCAACCAACCCCACATGTCTAACGCTCCCACTCAGAGTCTACTTCGAGGGTCATAGTCCTGAGGTTGTCGGTTCAGGGACTGAGAAGAGCCATGTAGTTGGTGGCCACATCGGATTTTGAAGAGCTTTTATCGCTGCGAGAGCTAATTCAGCTTTTCTACTGTAAGCAATAGGGAGCTACTGAACAGAGGAACATCTTATTAAACTGATTTTTTTTACCTCGTTCCCTGGCAGTCAATATGAAGGATGGGTCAGAAGGGGCTAACACTGAACGTAACAAATGAGACCTAAGCCTGCAACGCCGTGCCTGAGAAGGGAAAAATAGGAGAAGGAATACAGAATGGTCTACGGAGCCCACACGTCATGCCCACTGACCTGCTTTTGGTACACTTGCTTATACTTCTCCTTCTTTCACAGATCTGGTCTCTGTTAGACACACTCATCACGGAGGCTCATAAAGCCCTTTCTCGTAGCCAATGCTTCTGGTGCCCCCTTAATATCACCTGAAACCATGTGCACCATCGATGTCCTAGTTTTTGGAAAAGATTTTGGTGGCATAGTGGTTAGCATGTGGCTGCCAACCTCTAGGTTGGTGGTTCTAACCTCTCCAGTGGCTCCATGGGAGAAAGACCTGCCCCAGTAGAGGTTGCAGCCTGGAAAACCCCATGGGGCAGTTCCCCTCTGTCACGCGGCATCGCTATAAGTCAAAAACGGATGTCAGAGCACCCATCATCAACAACAGCTCTGGAAACCAGTGCTCAGGACCTGCCAGAGAGAGTGCCCGTCTTGTAAAATGTTGACAGACCCGTGGGTTGGGGTATCTAGTGTAGTCTTACCTCTTGAGAACCTTGTGTGGGAGGAACCATGTTTCATTGGAATCCCATGACTTTTCTAATCATTGTTGCATTCATTTTTGACGGTATAACTTGTATCCAGCCATCTGAGAAGTAGTCCACTGAAGCCAGACTGTTCTGTGCGTGTATATTGATTCTGTAGTTTGTAGTCTGGGATCTGGGATAAGTGTGTGGTTTGGGACATGTTGCACACGTTTTTTATAACTTCTGTTTTATATCACTAAAGTGGGAATAACAGGAAGGTGCCCATTTTTCAGAGTTGCTGAGGGGAACTCTGGAATCAGTAGAAACACGTAGCGTGCAAATGTTAAGAGTGGTTCGGAAGGAAAAAACTGTGTGTGAACTCAGGTCAGCTCGGAACACACTTTGGTTTCTCTCAGGATCATCTGCCAAAAATCATCACCTTGCTATGTGCCTAGTTCACTCACTGGCCAAAGAAAAGCCTGTGCTCACCTTCCCAAATCAGGAGATGGTATCTAAAGGTTAGCATGTTCGAAGGCCATGTCCTTTTACCACAACAATATTCGAGCACTGTGACAAATGATGGCATTCCCTGTGGTGATTCTTATTACTATTTCTCTTCTCTTTATATTAAAATATTTATTTGTATTGCCTTCCTGGTCACAAATATAAGGAATGACAGCATCACATATAATAATTCACATTATTAAAAAAAGAATCTAATGATGTAGATATCGTTGGAGTTGAACCATCCCCTTTCTCTCTAAGGGAAGAAGCGATGCTGTCCACATACTTTGAGACAATCAACGACCTGCTCTCCTCCTTTGGGCCAGTCCGTGACTGCTCCCGGAACAACGGAGGCTGTACTCGCAACTTCAAGTGCGTGTCTGACCGCCAGGTGGACTCGTCAGGATGTGTGGTAAGTGCTTCATGGCTTGGTACTCACCCAGAGGTCAAAGCCCGTTACTGAAGAGCCGTCCCTATGAGGGAGGAGCTGGGCAGGGATGCTCGGACTATCCTACTATCTGCTGGTGTAATCTTCAGCCAGGGAGGCTGCTTCCTCGGGCCTTGGTTTTCTCATCTGTGAAGGTGAATCACACTACCCCATGGAATTGTGGGGAGAATGAAAAGTGTTGTGAAAGCCTTAGCACCCAGCACAGCGTAGTCCCAGAAACTCAGGAGGCAGTTCGACTCAGTCTGCTGCAAGGTCACTATGAGTCAGCATCGCCGCAATGGCGGTGAGTTCTTTTTAGAATACATAGCAACTCAAGCCTACTCTATATTTTCTATTTTCATATGCTCTGCATTTTTTATGACAAGTTGTAGCCCAGCAAGCACAGTGAATGAGCATTATTTAAAGTTTTACCCTATTATAGCCAACCCTCATTGCTTGCATAAATAATGTCTAGTCACTTAAATTTTTAATCTGTGCAAGCCAACAATCCATGTCGTTTAGTCCAAAAAGCTGTTCTATACATGCATGCTTTCCATTTTCAACAGTATTTTAAATTCTGTGTGACTGAATGAATGATACTATCAGTAGAATTACCATGTGCCGCATTGGGATAATTCATAATGTTCTTCAGTAAATATGTCTTTAAAGTGAACCGGAGACATATGTAAACCATAGGTATATGTGTGAATCGCTTTTGAGTGTGCACTTCATTATAGCCCTAATCTAAGAATAATTATTCATAGGAGGTGGCCCTACTCATGAAGAAATCACTGTGGATGCTATAGTAAAGTGTGGTGAAGAAACCAGATGGTGCCTGACAGATAAAATAGCATCTGGGGTCTTAAAGGTGTGTCTTAAAATAAACATCCATCTAAGTGAGGGTGTTAGCTAAGTCACACGAAAGAAGCACACTGTCTAGAGTGTATGATCCAAGGTGTGTAAATAATAAAATTCAAGACTGGAGGAAGGAATGGTATTAAAGTTTAAAATCTGAGCTCCTAGGTTGCAGAAAGCTATGGTTGGCAGCAAAAGCCCAAAATCCATTTGCAGAGTTCTGATGTGGCTCAAGCCTCCCGTGAATCCCCTAACCATTGACCAGAGATGGGAATACCCATGCTATCAGATAGGGACATTGGAAAGTGGATTGATACAGATGTAGTTAGGTCAAAATTTAACACCTTATTTGTTCTCCTTTTTGACCCATTTTAAATTTTTTCTAGTTTTTAGTATTTTCTGCATTCTTTTCAATTGAGATTTTTCTCTGTTTTGATAGTATTGTTTGTTTTTTATTATGTGTGTGTGTGTATGTATATATATATACACACATAAATATTTTTGTATATAGAATCCAGGATAGGTAAATCCATAAGGACAATAGCTGGGTCAAGAATTTCTTAGGATTATGGCAAGGGAGATTAGGGGGAAATGGGGACCTAATAATAATGAGTACAAGAAAGAAAATGTTCTAAAATTAATTATTGTGCTAGTTGCACAACCCTTTAATGTGATTAAGTCGTCAAATTGTATAGTCTTTGAGTTATATGTCAATTAAACTATTAAAATGCAGATAACACAAGGGAAAAATGAGGAACATAGCTCCGGGAGCCAGAGGACAGGGCAAATCGTTGGAAGGTTTGATAAGTTTTTGAATGCAACAATGATAAGCTAATACCCAACCTAAAAGTAAACTCCCTACCATCAAGTTAATGGTGACTCAAAGCCACCCTATAGGACAGGGTAGAACTGTTCCTATGGGTTTCTGAGATTACAACTCTTTTTTTTTTTTATCATTTTATTAGGGGCTCATACAACTCTTATCACAATCCATACACACATCAATTGTGTACAGCGCATTTGTACATTCATTGCCCTCATCATTCTCAAAACATTTTCTCTCCACTTAAATCCCCGGCATTAGGTCCTCATTTTCCCCTCCCTCC